TGGCAACCTGGGAGCCATAAAACCATCCCTGGTGACTACATGTGACCCACAAACCATGCTTTGACCATCCCTGGTGTAGGGTTTCATGAAAACATGTTTCCTTGCCCAGGTTGGGAGTACGGTGTTGCTATCCCGCCTGCCGAATTTCCTCACTCCTGGAACGCTGCCGAGAAGACCTACCACACTCATCGGCGTCGACGCTGGCTCCGGAAGCGCTACCGGAACTTGATCAAGGAGAACCAGGAGGACAACATGGCAGCTTTCCTTCAACTGGTAACTGCCTTAGACACCTGGGACCATGATGCGGGCTTCGTTCACACCAGCAAGGTAGCTGAGGGGCAAAAAGTCAGCAAGGAACAATAGGCAAACTCTGTGGCAAGGACCCAGTGGTAACTTCAGAGTTCCCAGGGGCCATCTTCAAACCCCTCAGACCCACCTTGTTCTCCTTCAAACAAAGGCACACTTTATTGAAAGAAGAATTGCACCTGGCTTCTGTGGATGGAAATATTCCATGCACACATACAGAGATCTAAAATTGGAGGGGGATGATGGAGGCCACCTCAGAAATGGACATTGTGAGAAAAGTGAGAGAGAGAAATATGTTCTTTCTAGGCATTTATAGATCCTCCATTGTGATCCTATGGTCAACCTCTGACCCAAGCATACCACAGCATTGTACTGGCAGACTTAGAAATACCCAAAGAAGTGTCCTTCCTAGGCATTTCTAGGTCCTCCAGTGTGAGTCTATGGTCAACTTTTGACCTAATCATACCATACAATTGTACTGGAGGACCTAGAAATTCCCAGAGAAGTGTCCTTTCTAGGCATTGGGAAAGGCTTCATGGACTGACTCCAGAGGTTTCCTTGGATCGTTTCAGCCTCTCTCTCCCTCTTCCATTTCTTGCAGCACTCAGATGCCAAGTCAAAGCCAGAAACATGGGAATATGCCCCTTTGACTGAATGGAGATTCCACCTTCAGCGGCAACCCGACGACGTGTTTCGCCGACGGTGCTGGCGGAGAAAGCTTACCCCCATTGCACCCAGCCATAGAGCATCCATATTCCTCTTGGAGGGCTCACTGGTAAGAAAAGCCAGCTGCCCAAGAAGGACCCTGGCATAGCTGCTAATAGATAAGGGGTGGTTGGCCTTGGGTAAGTCACACTCTCTCTGCCTCAGGGGAGGGTGGTGGCAAACCTCCTCTGATCAAATCTTTCCAAGAAAGCCCCAAGATAGGGTGGCCTTAGGGTCACCTTAAAGTCAAACATGACTTGAAGGCACACAAACAAATACAGACATAGCAATAGCAATAGCAGCTTCATTTATTTACCGCTTCATACCACACTATGCAGTCCCTAAGTGGTTTACAACTGTCCTCATGTCCCCATGTCTCCGTCATCTGATTATAAAACACAGTTTATTCTTCTTTAAATTTATTTTTTATTTATATAAAATATTTACATCCGCTTTTTGCATTGTAAATGGGACCTTCATTAATATGCCCTCTGCCGGACAGAGCTGGAAATGGCCCCATGTCTCCATCAGCCGGTTATAAAACACAGTTTATTCTTTTTTTAAAATTTATTTTTATTTATATAAAATATTTACATCCCACCCTATCTTTGAGGATCACAGGGTGGTGTGCAAACAAAAAAATCAGTTGAAGCCAATAAATAACCATTACTATAAAAGACTAAAAAATGTATTCCTGCAGCACTCAGATACCAAGTCGAAACCAGAAACATGGGAATACACCCCATTGATTGGCTGGAGATTCCACCTGCAGAGGCATCCCATTTAAAACCAGTTAAAAACCATTAAAATACAGTACAATCTCTGTAACTGCAGTACCATTACCTGCAGTTTCACTTACCCACATCTGATGATGAAGACGAAGGAGATGATGATGACAATGATGATGAAGATGATGAAGGAGATGATGAAGATGATAATGATAATGATGATAATATAGAAGAAGATAATGAAGGACATGATGAAGCAGATGATGGAGATGATGAAGAAGATGAAGATGGCGATGATGATTAAGATGATGACGATGACGAAGAAGATGATGATGATGAAGAAGATAATGAAGGAGATGATAATGAAGACAATGATGAAGATGAAGATGATGATGATGATGATGGAGAAGAAGAAGAAGAAGAAGAAGAAGAAGAAGAAGAAGAAGAAGAAGGGTATTATGGAACATAAAACAAATTGTAAGCCTTTATTATAAATTACACAAAAGTGCATAAGTTGAATTAGTGGAATAAGTTGAATTAAACTCTCTTTTTGATGCAGAATTCATGTGCCTTCCACTTATTTATGAGGCTCAGAGACTCCATGCAGCCCTGAGCATCACACTATTTGTGCCTCTTCTTCAGGGTGTAGATATGGAAGCTGATGGGAAAAAGAAGAAAGGGGAGGCCGAGAAGAAAGACGAGAAGAAGGAGGGGAAAGAAGTGGAGAGGCGCCCCTCGCAGAGCCTCTTGAAGATGAATACGCCTCTCCTTTTCTGCATTTTCAAAAGTGAGTCAAGGACTCGGAGTCGAACTAGATTGGGGTGAGCAACTACCCAAGTACCTCCAGCTTCCTTTGCAGTCCCTCCCAAAATGGCAACAGAAAGTGATATTCGGTCCTTCCTTGTCACCATTTTGAGAAGGCCTGCAGAGGAAACTAGAGGTAATTGAGAGTAGTATGTGATACTTGACAGTCCTATGGTCCTTTACCCATCAGATAAGTGGGACCTTCCTGTATTTAATGTAATATAATGTGTGTATTTTTAACTTGGAATTGTTCATGAATAGTGGTCAGGGAAAGACAAAAATTGCTTAGGGACAGACAGAGATGTGGAAAATAAAATTTGGGTAAACAACTGTGATTGGGCTACAAACCCCAATGGCTCTCACCACCCAAATTCACTATTCGAAGGACTGGTAATTTGTGGGCAGACTGAGACCAAGAGAGTATGTTCGTCTGAGGCTGCATCTGCACTGCAGAAATAACCCCGGTTGACACCACTTTAACTGCCATGGCTCAATGCTATGGAATCGTGGGAATTGTAATTTGGTGGCTGGCACCAGAGCTCTGTGACAGAGAAGGCTCAATATCTCACAAAACTACAAATCCCAGAATTCTAGAGCATGGAGCCATGGCAGTTAAAGTGGGGTCGACCTGGATTACTTCAAATAGTGTGGCCGCAGCTTGAATAATACATTTTTGAGAAGGTACTTATACAAATAGAAGTCATCTAAACTCTTCTTCCTGCAGGTCCTGTTTATTTCCAGTTGCGCTGCTACATCTACCAGGCAAGGGATCTTGTAGGAGCTTATGCAAGTGGCTCTGCAGGTGTGTGACATTAAAAAAGCACTCTGGTGTCCTATAGGACTGAGTTCCTTTCTGCTTTCACCTCCGTATCAGTGTTCATTTGGTCCAGTGCATTCTAAAGACACACATCCAGAAGGGGAGAGAGTCTAGGGATGTATTGAGAATTTCCAGTTTATTTCTTTATTGGTTTTGATTTTGCCTACATATTCATAAGTTTATGCCCCAATTTTTTCTTGAACTATCTTGGGTTCTCCTTATGTCCTTCCTTGTCCCCTTCCCACCCGATCAAATGTGATATTTATCACATGTGGATTTTGAACCACCATTAAAGCTGACCACAGAAAAAATAAATGAATTCAGCCTAAACAATGAAGAAATTGAAATACAGTGGGCCCTTGGTATCCACTAGGTTTGGTTCCAAAACCCTCTGTGGATGCCAAAATCCATGGACACTCAAATCCCATTATATACAATTGTGTAGTGAAATGGTGTTTCATATATAAAATAGTAAAATCCAGGTTTGCTTATTGGAATTTATATTTTTTTGGAATATTTTCAAGCCACAGATAGTTGGATTTGTGGATAATGAATAAATGGATATAGAGGGCCATCTGTAATAATAATATTTTTTATTTCATAATACAATCGGCCCTTCGGTTTCACAGGGGGATCCATTCTGGACCACCACCCCACAAAAACAGAGATTCGCCAATTTCAATTACCCATGTGTAATCCATGCTGTGTAATATTGATTTAATGGAGGTCGTCCCTCCATGAATATGCAAAACTACAGACTTCAAGTCCACAAGAACAAAGGGGCGATTGTAATAATATTTATTTCTTACTCGCCTCTCTGCATGGATTGAGGCAGCGAACAACATGAACAGACACACCACATCAGTTCAAACACACCAGTTAAAATACACATCATTTTAAAAAATTATAGTGATTGTTTTACCTTTGATGATTCCTATCGCACGACGTCGTCCCCTTCTTGCCACTGCCATGCGTTGTTAGAGTGCATCTTATCATCGATGGGGAAAACCTGTCAATAGGCTCCCAAACCTGCTCCTGTATCATTAGGTGCAATAAGTTCCTCATGCAACAGTTCCAGTATTGGGGCATCACCTTCTTTCCTCCTCTCTTTTTCTGTAAAGCATAAGGATAAGCTTTGACTCCATTGTACTGAACTGCCCATCCTCTGTCATTTTGTTTCTTCGTCAGATCCTGTGGCCCACGTTTCCTTCCTTCACACAAGCCAATGCACCAAGATTGTCCCTGGCACGCTGCACCCGTTGTGGGATCAGAGTCTCCTCTTTGAGAACATCTTGATCTATGGAGACCCTCGGGCAACCGAGGAGGACCCACCGGTTGTGGCTGTAGAGATCGTTGACGTCGATCCTACGGTATGTACCTGGTCCTTTTAGCTGGCCCAGGAAGACTGAAGGACACCAGATGGAAAGACTCGCTAACAGAAACTGAGGTCTCTTTCACACACCCAGTTGTGTGTGTGTATGTGTGTGTTGTGTGTCTTCAAGTCCTTTCCAACCTTTGGTGACCCAAAGGCAAACCTATCATTGGGTTTACTTGTCCAGATTTGTTCAGAGGAGGTTTGCCATTGCCTTCCCCTGAGGCTGAGAGAGTGTGGCTTGCCCAAGGTCACCCAATGCGTTTCATAACTGAGCAGGGATTTGAACCTTGGTCTCTAGGGTCGTAGTCCAATGTTCAAACCACTATGCCACACTATTGTAACTTCAATGCTGTGTGATATTAAGATTGGTCATTTTGTGAAGTATTTAGAATTCTCTTCAAGAGAAGAAAAGAAAGAAAAGAAAAATTGGAAAGAACAGGAAGAAAATCTGGGACTTTCTGGTCTTTTTATTCATCAGTCTGGATGCACCCTCTTCAGTCTCACATATCTGGACAATACAGGTATTGCATTTCTGTTTTTAGGGCCGTTCTGACTATATCATGGGGAGGGCTATGAGTCTCCCAGTCGTGTACCTGGACCTTGATTCACGAAGAATCCCTCAACTCCAGAGTCATATCATCCTGAAAGAAGAGATGGAGGCTGGATATCTCCTGGCTGCTTTTGAGCTTCTATTAGACAAGAAGGTAAAAGAATTATAATATACAGGTTGAGTCTCCTTTATCTGAAACGTTTCAGACCAGGACTGCATTTGCACTGCAGAAATTTGCACTGCACTGCAGTTTGACTGCCATGGCTCAGTGTTATGGAAATCTCAGATTTGTCATTTTGTGAGTTGTTTAGTCTTCTCTGGTGCCATGACAAACTACAAATCCCAGGATTCCAGAGGATGGACCCATGGCAGTTAAAGCGGGGTCAAACTGCATTAATTCTGCAGTGTGGCAGCAGCTCAAAAGTGTTTTGGATTTTGGTCTGTTCACCTGCGGTTTCCCCTTTCCACTAACAGGCACTATATCAATCCATTCCATTTCTTATTCCAGTATTTAAGCACCCATAGGAAATAGCATTCTGAAAGGATGAAAAAACAGGGGAGGCTCACTTCATCCAAATTCCCACTTTTCCTCCCTACAGGATGGGTCTTTGGGAAAACACCCTCCTCCTGCCTGGAAGGATGGCATGTACACCATCCCAAAAGGAATCCGTCCCATTCTGAGGCTGATGGCCATTGAGGTGAGCAAGGCTGTAAATTCTTGGTTGTTAATGTTGTGTGCCTTCATGTTGTTTCCAAATGATGGTGACCCTAAGGGCTTTCTTGGCAAGATTGGTTCAACCTTTGCAAAAAGCTGAGAGAGTGTGATTTGCCTGGCCAATGACAAAGAATTAGGTGAGTGTTGTTGTTGTTGCTGTTGTTGTTGTTGCTGTTGTTGTGTGCCTTCAGGTCACTTCCAACTTATGGCGACCCTAAATCAAACCTGTCATGGGGTTTTCTTGGCAAGATTTGTTCAGTTTTGCGAGGGGCATTAAGAGTTCTCAGCCAGAGAGCTCTTGCACCTAACAAAATTACTCATCCCACAATTCCAAGGGATGCAGCCATAGAATTTAAAGTGGAATAATAGCGCTGTAACTGTGTCGTGTGAACGGGCCCTGGACTAGAAAGGTAACTCATTACTTTTTTTAAATAAAAATAACTTCCCAAGCTCTGCATGCACTTCAAATCAGCAAAATAGGGTCTAGAAACCATGCTCTATGGGGAGCAACTTAGGGAGCTTGGTATGTTTATCCTGGAGAAGAGAAGGTTAAGAGGGAACATGATAGTAAAGGTAGGCTGAGGATGGAGTAAGCTTGTTTTCTGCTGCTCCAGAGAATAAGACATGGAGCAATGGATGCAAATTACAGGAAAAGAGATTCCACCTAAACATTAGGAAGAACTTCTTGAGAGAAAGAGCTGTTTGACAGTGAAAGATGCTGTCTTGGCGGGTATTGGACTCTCCTTCTTTGGAGGTTTTTAAACAGAGGCTGGATGGCCATCTGTCAGGGGTGCTTGGAGTGTGTATGCCTGCATGGCACAATGGAGTTGGACTGGGTGGCCCTTGAGGTCTCTCCCAACTCTATGATCCTATGATTCTAATTTCTGCCAAAGGAAACTGTACATTTCAGGTTACTGTCTCTCTGTCCTTTGACCTAGCTTTTACTAATATCGGCCCTGATTCTTGGACAGATCTTGGCTTGGGGCCTGCGAGACATGAAGAACTACAACCTGCTGGTCATCAACAATCCAAGTCTCATTATAGAATGTGGAGGGGAAAGCGTTCAAACTCCAGTCATCAAGAACTTCCAGGAGAACCCCAATTTTCCAATTAACATTTATCTCATGAAAGTGGTGAGTGACCGTGTTAGTCCTTGGCACAGACTTAGGGAGAGGATGTTCAGAGGCAGTGAATCTTAAGACTTGAGCTGCCCTACTATTTGGGCAGATGGGGAATTGCCCACCTAACTACATTTGTTTTTAATGCAATAAGGCTCTATAGTCTATGAAGGCTAATGCTACCAGCTTCTTTATTTCTCTCAGTTAGTCTCAAAGGTGCTAAGAGACTCCTTTCCACAATGTACAGTTTGTAAAGGCAAGGTATGGATGCCATTTATGCAACTCTGCTTCCACTGCTATCAGCAGAATAAGAGCCTTATCATATTAAAAACAAACTTGGCAGGCAAACAGAGAGAAGAATATTTATCTTTCTTTCTCTGCATGACAAGTCATAAAAGTGTCCCTTTTGCCAAGCTGGAAAAATCTGTTTTGCAAAAGGAACGTTTTTACCACTCTGTCCCATGCTTTTACAACTAGAAGACAATGAAAGTGCTTCAGCATCATGCAGAGACAGAAAGATAAATACACTTCTCTTTGTTTGCTTGATGGGTTTGTTTTTAATGTAATAAGGCTCTATATCTGCAACAACAAATTGGTGACTTTTTGGCCTCTTGTGCATAGCATGACTTATGTGTGCATATGTCTTTATGTGAATTCTGCTCACTGTGTGTCTCACAGCTGGCAACCACCAGCCATTAAAAGCCATCAACACTTGTTTAAGTAAGAACCTTTAACACCAGTGTTCCTTATTAGAAGTGGTCTTCTAGTCACTAACTGCACAAAAACCTCAAGGTGTTGATCTTGTCCCTCACCACTGTACAATAATGTTTCCTATTAGAATGCCAATATTTAAGAACCACTGTGCTAGGCAGCAACCAAAAATTCAGGAAAAGAACATAGATGCATTGTTTTTTCTCTGCTGGAATGAATCCCAGCCACCCCCATCATTTACTTATTGGGAAAGTTCATCGAATCCATCTCCATCTCCTTTAGTACCTGCCTATAGATGAATACTATGCACCTCCCATCGAGCTGAAGGTGATTGATCACAGAGAGTTTGGATATAAGCCAGTAGTGGGCCGTGCAAGTGTGAGATATCTGCACCAGTACTTCTGTGACCCCTGGGAAGAAAAGAAGGTCCATAATCTACCTGCAAGAGGTATTGACTACCATATAACTGGCTTGCAATTCTGTCAAGGCAAGACTTTCTTGTTAGGGCTCAACTACCTACCTTGATGGAGGCACAGAGCTGTGAAGTGAAGATTGGAATCAATGCTTGTAAATATTTTTAGGCTCATTGAGGAAGGGTGTCTCAACACAGCCAGGCAGGCCATTAGGATAATGTTCAACTGTCACTAAATTTTTCATATTTGCAGACTTTTTTTCTGTGATATTAGTTTGCACAAACCCAATACTTTGCACACACAGAAAACCAGATTGGAATCATCTACAGTGGGCCCTTGGTATCCAATGGGTTTTGGTTCCAGGACCCCCAGTGGATACCAAAATCCATGGATGGTCAAGTCCCATTGAATGCAATGGCACAGTAAACTGCTATCCCTTATATAAAATAGCAAAATCAAGGTTTGCTATTTAAATTTATATTATTATTGAATATTTTCAAGCCATGGATGGTTGAATCCATAGATGAAGAATCCATGGATATGGAGGGCCAACTGTACTTTATTATCTCTCCTTCTGCCTCCTACCTTACCAAGCATTGTTATCACTTTTTGTGAGTGTATAAAAAATTTAAAATATTACCAGGAGATTTTTCACCCAACCTCCCACCTAACTGGCAGAAAGAAGAGATTTATTAAATCAATAAATAAAAATTGCTTTCTTCTAAGGCTGAGGGAATATAACTTAGCCAAGGTCACCACATTTCCATGGACGATTGGGGATTTAAGCCCTGGTCTCCAGAAGTCGCTGTCCAACATTCAGACATATTGCCTTATAATTTCTCTTTTTTTAAGCAAAAACATACCCAGCTCCTTCAATTTTTCTCCAGATCAAGTTCCTTGGGAGGGTAGGTGTGCTCCAAAGTGACCTTTTGGGCTTGTGTATCTGGGATGTTTCACAAGTGTATGTGTGTGCCTTCAAGTTGCCTGTTGACTTACGCAACCCCATTAATTTTTATAGGGTTTTCTTAGGCAAGAAATACTCAAAAAATGTGGTTTTGCCAGTTCCTTCCTCTGAAACATAGCTTACAGCACCTGGTATTATTTGGCAGACTCCCATCCAAGTATTAACTGGGTTGTGTTATATTGTCCTATGTGTGTATTATCTCTGAGAGCCTCCCTTGATGTTGTAGTATACGACTGGATAAGCTTGAAAAGTCCACAAGTCATTTTTCAGAAGATACTATATAAAAATATCTGCCAGAAGCAATATGTGGGATTTGGTTCCTGCTCTTTCCAAGCATCACCCTTTTTGGGTTTCCCTATTAATTCCATGTTCTCTTATGTGTTTTTTCTTCCACCAACAGCCATTTCCAAGGTGAAAACAAAGAAGGTAAGTATGGCTGCACCTTGGAGTCCTAGACCCTTCTCTTGTCCATCAGTAGACATAGCCATAAGTAGTCTCCCAACAACAACAAAAAAATAAATCTGAATTACACCATCATAACTCACCAAAGAATGATAGTCCTAGTTTCTTTCCTTTCTCATGAGAAGGACCAGAGTTACAACGATCTCAACAAGCAGGCATAGGAAAGAATTTCTGCCCAAGGTCTTGACAATGATAGCAGTATGCTAAATGGACTCATGGTCTTTCAAGTCCAATAGTTACCAAACTTTGTTCATAGGCATATGGAAATCATGGCCCATGCCATGTAAGCAAGCTCCTAAAGCTAGTATCATAGAAAATTGTAATCATAGGCCAAGCATGTGTGGAACAGTTTCCTATAGCTTCCTAAAATCCATTCCACCAGGAAGTTCTTCCCAATATTTAAT